TACCTTTGGTATGATGTTAACACTTGCTTCGAAATCATAGACAACTACTTGGAATATGTGAGGTCTAATGGCTATGGGGATGATAGGTCTTTCTGGATCACCTTTCTTGACGGGCAACAAGTCATCTCGCCATCCTCCAGTCGATGGTTTTTTGTAGTAGTATCCTGCATTGTGAATATCGACAAGATTCGCGGTTTTGGGATCTTCTGGTTGTCTTGGAATCTTATCTTTGTCGGTTGAAGGAACAATAGTCGCCAGCTGAGCTATTTGTAATTCTTCCATTTTATTAAAGCTATGTTGGTTTTTAATGGCTGAGGAGAAGCTATCCATTCTATTATTTATGTTTTCTAGAATTTTGTCATTGGAAGCTAATTTTCTAGATAAACCCTTCATAATTTTAGCTTGACCAAAGACTAACTCTCTCAAAGATGGCTGGTTATTAAAATTATTGAAATTATTACCTTGATAGTTACCTTGGTAGTTTGGCCTCTATTGCTGATTCCATCCTTAATTCTGTTGAGGACGATAGTTATTGTTGTTGATGAAGTTCGCATCCTCATGGGTTTTAGGACAGTTGTTCCATGAATGCCCAGTGTTTCGACACTTCTCATGTTATGCGAGAATCATGAATGTGCATGCCTTCTTGCTTCTCATTGGCTCATTCTTCAAGCCTCTTCGTCAGTAGGTCCATCTTGGCAGACAACATATCTACCTCCTTGAGTTGATGCATACCTCCACCTCTCTTGCGGGTTTGAAGACATTTTTCATTCTAGCCTTGGTTAGAGGCCATCTTCTCTACGAGAGCTGTTGCTCGTGGAATTGTGAGTGATAAAAATGCACCTCCAGCAGCGGCATCCATATTCTCACGGGCACTGTTAGTGAGCCTGTGATAGAATGTCTGCATGAGTAGCCAATTCTTCATCCCATGATGAGGACATTCTGATATGTAATCTTGAAAGCATTCCCATGCCTCGAGGATAGATTCATCATGTTGCTGCTAAAAACTTAAAATTCTTCCACGCAGAGCAGTGGTTTTGCCCATGGGAAAAACTTTGCTAGGAAGGTAGTGGAGCAGTTTTCACATGTAGTATTTCTATCTTTGTTGGTGGCGGAATATGGCGTCTCTGGTAACTTCTTTGATGGTGAAAGTGTTGTAAATCTCCAAGAAGCCTTGGAGATGACCACTCACATCTTCATGTGTCTTTCCACAAAACTGGTTGGCCTGCACCATATTGATAAGAGCTAGCGTGAGCTCAAAAACATTGTCTCCAATTTTAATCACTGGTCTAGTACGGATGTTGGTCGTAGTTGGAGCAGAGAATTCATGGAGAGTCTTGTCAGCTATGGCTTCGAAAACTGGTGTTAAGCTACGTCTTGTCTGGTTGTCTTCCGATTCTACATCTAAAACTTTCTTAAGTTTAGCTTCGGTCCTCCTAAATAGTGCTTCTGGATCTTCAACGTAGTTTGGCGGAAGGTCAAAAACAGTCATACATTACCCTGCATAAGATATAAAAGTAGACATAACAAGGGTATACCTGTTTGAGCAGAGGTAAATGGTTTTCTCGATCACATCAATAAGTAGAAGTTTATCAATATTCCTTTTAATTGCCTAGCTACATTTTCCGACAACGGCGCCAGAAATGCTTGATATTTCTTAGCATCGCTACTAAGAACAGAGTTTTAACTATACTCCTAGCATTGCCGCCAGAAATGCGTGTAGGTATTTTATTGTGACTCAGAATTAATGCAATTGTAGCACTTCACCTGATAGTATTTTAGGTATCGTTATTTATATTTTTACCACAGGGAAGGATGGACAAAAGAGAATATATTAATAACTTATACTTATGATGGAGAAATAAAACATAACCAATCTTCTACTCACTACAGGGGTAAGTCAAGAAATAAATGTAATATGAATGATATAAATGATAATTGAACACTCAGAGTACTCCTTTAGATGGCACTAGCATGGCTAGTAGATACAATAGAGAAACTAATTCCTAAGACATTCTTGATTAAAAGTTAAAGCATACTATGATTAGTACAATTATACTTAATAATCATTGCTAAGATCAACTTCATATCTATACATAAGGGATATTACTAAGGAGGATCAGGAATAGAGCCTGACTTCCTTCCTAACTAGATCCTACTTGTCCTACATTCAGGGAGTGGACTATAAAGGACTCAACGAGAGTGTCACACTCGCGATCTATCACATGGCTCAGAATATAGGGTGCATCCATAGGTAAACAACGTATAAGCACCATGCTTACATAATATCGACCACTCACCCCGTGTACTTTAGAGCGAGCGCTATACGAACTTATGCTTCAACATAAAGATAATCTAGCTATACTAAGCATATAATCAAAGTAGACGATGAACATGATAACTAAGAACATGAATAATATTAAGAATAATGTCATATCAATTGTAGCAAACATATGAAATATGAAAGATACAAGAGAGGATACAAGGCTATACCAAGTTACGCTTTTGACAAGATCAGGAATCCAAACAGATGGCTAGCCTCTCTCTAGATCTAACTTAGCTAGCTATGCCTAAATATCTGTGGAGCTCTGAGGTTCTTCTTCTGATGATCAGGGTTTGATAATGATTGATTGATTGTCTGATGCCTTAGGGGGGTAGGGGCTGATATATATATAGGGAGTAACGTCAATTCAGGACCCTTAGATCAAACCGACTTAAAATAACGGCGTAGATCTGATCTATAAGGCAGTGGGGAACCAACATAGTAAAAGACTGACTGATGGGCCTAGGGGGTCGGTCGGCCTGCAGGTGGGGCTGGCCGGCCACACCTGGCAGCCACCTGCCCTCTGCTTCTGTGGTTTGCCTTCTGGTGTCTTCTAGAACCTTCTACAGTTGGTTTCATCGTGGATAAGCGTGATTAATTCTGATGTTTGGGTCCACTTGGACGGTTTTATGAATAAACCCGGCTAAAAACACAGATTCACCAAAATTCATGGAATTTGTTAGTTTAAACCTCTAAACCTATGTTGGTGATCATTGTCATGCATTATGCAAGTTATATTGACGGTTTATGATGAGTGTTAACTACCGTCAACATCCATCTCGCAAAATCGATTTACGGAGACGTTTAATGTGACTGAGCCCGTTAGAAGCCCATCTCGGCCTGAGAACAGCTTCACGGTATATATACGGGAACTGAAACCGTAGCCCTTTTCTCGGTCATTTCTCTCCCTTTCTCCTCTCACCCGCGTGGCGCATCTCTCCCTTTCTCCCTCTCTTTCTGCTCTCTCTGCCCCTCCTAGCGCACAGCCGAGATCTCTCTTCCCCTCTCTCTCGCTCTTTCCTTTCTCCGGCGGATGCTTGGACGGATGCGTGGGCTCGACATGTATGGCCGCAGCCAGCGATGATGAGGACACACGGGCCTGGCGCATTCCCTAGCGAGCGACGGCGCACACACTGAGGACACTAATGGCCGCGCACATCTTCATCACCTCCGGCGATAGCTCACGCTGCTCTCACTACTACAGAGAATGTACTAGAGGCGGGCGTTTTCAATTTACCGAGGCGGGCATCACAACCGCCTCAGTTCAAACGCCTCCGTAAATCACTTTTTTACCGAGGCGGTTGTAGTCCCCACCTCGATAAGTCGTTTTAAAAAAAGAAAAAAACGAAAGCCCACCGGTGAGCCCATTTTGGAGCATAGGCGCCACCAATGCCACCTCCTCGCGCGCCATCGACATCGGGATCCGGCCATCCCGCGCGCCGCCGTTAGAGGGAGGAGAGTGGGGCTTCCCCGTGCGCCGACGCCGCTCGCCTCGGCCCCCTGCCACCAGGGCCACACCACTACCGAGCCTTGCCGGTGCGCAACGCCTCCGAGCCTCGATGGTGCGTGTGGGCCGCTGCCTCAGAACACTGGCGTGTGTGCGTGGCCCCGCCGCCAGGGGCGCGCCGCATCCAAGCCTCACTGGTGCGCGCCGCCTATGAGCCCTGCCGGAGCGCGCGGGCCCCCAACGCCAAGCCCTCGCCGTGCTGTGTGATGAGAGAGGTGAGGGAGAGAAAAGAGAGAGGCCGGTGGGGGAGAGAACAGAGTTGTGCGGCGCTGAGTGCTTGAGCGGCGAAGAGGGGAGAGGTTAGGGAGCAAAGAGTGAGTGGATTTGGGGGCTAGGATTTCGTTTGGGTTATATACTGTGACCTAAGTTTTGGGCCAAGATGGGCTTCTAACGGGCTCGGCCACGTTAAACGCCTGCGTAAATCGATTTTGCAAGGTGGACAATTGTAAACGCCCTCGTAAATAAAATGTCCGCCTCGGTAAATCGATTTTGCGAGGTGGGAAAATATAAACGCCTCCGTAAACAAAATGACCGTCTCGGTAAATCGATTTTGTGAGACGGTCATTTTTTGGTGCCTCGGTAAATAAATGACCACCTCTGTTAATTATTGAGCATTTTACACGATGGTTGGATTTTAGGACCGTCTCAGTTAATTTTTGGATAGTACATCGTAAAATCATTTTTATAGTAGTGTCTTTATGCCAGATCCGGTGGTGAGCGAAGGTGGAGGGCGGCGCCACCTCCTTCGTAGGCCAGATCTGGTGGAAGGCAGCTAGATCCGGTTGAGGACGGCGGCGCGGACGGGATGGTGGCAGGCTCGATTGGGCTCGACGTCGGGCTCAATTGGGCTCGCTCCCCTAGGCTTTTTAAAAAAAAAAAATCGATTAAAGTAGGCCTGCATTAGGACGCCTGACTCGTAGTCGCTCCTTGATTGAGCAGTTAGTTGTATACGTGACCGACAAGGATTGTAAATTCTTTTATTATTAGAATTAATTAGAAGCAACAAGTTGTAATCGAGTCAAATATTGGAATCCGATCCGGTTTCAGAAACAAGAGAGCTGCTATATATATCTGCATAAATAAATCTTCGAAACCTTGTGATCTGCATCGATCCTCGAGTACGTAGGTCGTCGCCGCCGTGTGTTTAGTAACAAATAACAAAAAGCCGGCGATATGTGGCCGTCACCGCCGGTCAGCTACGTGCCCTTAGATGCGGGCGCCGCCACGGAGGCGGAGGTCTCGGTGTCCACCGTCGCCGCCACGGCGGTCGCCACCGGTCACCTCATGCTCAAGCTCGAGGGCTACTCGCGGCTCAAGGCGAGGCACGGCGGGAACGGCAGCTACATAGAGTCCTCTGCGTCCAAGGTCGGAGGTCACACCTGGACGATCCGTTGCTACCTCAACGGCAGCAAAAAGGAGGACGCCGGCTTCGTCTCGCTGTTCCTGCATCTCTGTAGTGACCCCGACGCCGCCGTCGTCCTTGCCGAGTGCGAGTTCGCTCTGGTGCGTCACCAGGGCACGCCGCCGGCGTACGCTCACCAGGGCAAGCCGAGCACGACGTCGCACGGCTTACGCTCGGACACCGGCGTCTATGGAGGCCAGGGCGGTACCTGCAGCTGGGGTTTGTCGCGGTTCATCAGCGTGGAGGAGCTGGAGCGGTCCATGTTCCTCAGGGACGACTGCTTCGCCGTCCGGTGCACGGTCACCGTCGTCCGGGAGCAGACCGTGAAGGAGAAGGCCGTGCAGCCGCACGACCTGGCGAGGCTGGGGATGCTCTGCAAGTGCGACGACGACCTGTGCAAGCGCCATCACGACAGGCCTGCCGAGACTTTCTTGGAGAGATTTGCCAAGTTGTGCCACTACATCTGTCGTGGTACTGTTTAATTGTTTATCGCGCACGCTGTGATCGTGTAAAAATTATTTGTCACCCAAAATCCCAATTTACTAGCTAGTCCACCTATGTGTAAGTGTGATATTGTCTTGTATTAATATTACTTTAGAATAATCGTGTGAATTTTTTTGTCAACCGAGAATCCAATTTTACTTGTCCGCCTATATATGAAAGTGTGCGATATCTCTTGTATTAATATTATCATATTGATGTTATTATATATTATATTCATTGATGTTAATACAGCTTATGTAATTTTGTAGCTTGACCAATTGTTTTTTATTTTGACCGTGAAATTTTCCCATAAATCTGGTAGTCTGGTTTACCGGTGACTCCCGTATTTGTTTGGTAGTAGGAAATAATTTCCCGGGTGCATTTTATATACTCCCGGGGAGTAGTTACTCCCATAATCAATAAATCATATTACGTATGTGTACATACTCATTTATCAGTTTAAGTATGTTGGCATACTAATATTAAGATACTCCAGATCTTTACTATGTGAAAAAAAATTCAAAAAAGCACATATTTTTTAATATATTATATAATACTATGATAGTAGCATATAAAATAAGTATAACCATATACTCTAAGTATACATACATACTTGTGATACATAGTACCTTAGATGGTCTAGTATAATGATATACTCCATCTACATACACTTCGTCGGGCCATATACGTCCTAAATCTAGAGATATACACATGGGAGTAACTACTCCCTGAGAGTAGAAAATAATTTCCCCATATATATATATATATATATATATATTTTTCAAATCGATGGACAAACATTACAAAAGTTTAACTTAAGACAAAGCTAATATGACATGTAAATAAAAATAAAGGGAATATTAATAAATGGCTTGTTTGGACCTGGCTCCGCCTTTGGGCCATGCCCAACGAATGCAGTTGGGCATGTTTGTTTTCGTGAAGATCACCAGAGCCTGGCCAGCGCGGATATTAGAGCACCCATGGGCCAGCCAGGGGTGGATCCACAGTGTTAGCAGCAGTGCTGTCACCTAACATTAATAACCTATGTAAACTCAATGGAAAATTACTCTACAAACTAGAGAAAATAACACCCATGTCTATCATAAGTATGCTAATGAAATCAATGATCTTAATTCTAGATCCGCCCCTGGGCCTGCTCCGACGGAAACGAAAATGAATCTCGTTTCTTGCCGGCTCAGCTGGCGCTGCGCTCTCCTAGGCCATTTTTCTCTCCGGCTCTGAGGCTACTGCTCCCTGGCCCACTTCTGGCTCAAGCAAACAAACACCACCCCTAAAGGGCCAGGCCCAGCCGAGCTAGGAAAACAAACATGGCTTTATGCGCCTCAAGAACAAGGTTGTGGTTGTCTAGGCCATGTTGGGCCACACGGTCCACCCTCGTCCAGGATTCCAAACAGGCCCAAAGTGAACCCGGTACCGGTGGATAGGGATGAAAATGGTATGAATATTTTCCAACCATATTCGAGACCGAATCCGTTTAGGGGGTTTAAATCTGTTCGTATCCGAGTCCGGATATTCAACATCCGATACCATATCCATATCCGAATACTCAAATTGCATATTTATGTTGTCAATATCCAATCGTATCTACTTGACACTATCCGTATTCGAATCTGAACCCAGACAGAAATATGAAAATAAATGTAATATCAGTGATATCCGTCCGTATCCGATATGTTTTCATCCCTACCAGTGGATAAGAGTGTATGTTTTTCATGCTTCCTATATATAGCGAGAAAAAGTTTTCGTGGTTAATAACCTTCTTTTTCCATCTATATAAAAATCGGTGTTGTTGATGTTTTGTTTTGTTTTTAAATAGTTTAGACATGCCGTATTTAACATAACGTCGTTATATATATCAGTGCTTCGTTGTTGCATAGAACTTCAAGTTTCATACACGTTGTGTATTCTGAAATCAGCAGCGATGCACTTAGTTGGGTTCCGGTGATTAATGACAATACATGATTACTGTGACTAACGTGTGTTTTGCAGAGGCAATGAAGTTAGGTCACGGTAATGGAGATCGATTGGGCAATCATGGTGGTCATGCCCCTACGATGGAAATCGTTTCGGTTTTCAAAGGATGGACGACAAGGTTAAGGATGGACTAGTTCTAAGTGTCGTTTGGAGTTGAAGAGACACTTAGAGTAGTTTAGGACTTTGTTTTTTCTTTGGCCGTACTATTAAGGGAGGTATGGACGGGTAGCTTGACCTAGGTGAGTCTAGTGGGTTAGGTGTGGTGCACACATGCTAAACCTAGCACTAGGTAGCTCCAAAATAGCCCTTAGATCTAATGGAGCAAACTTCTTTCACGTATGATCGAGAGTTGGAAGTGAATGGAGGGTCAAATACTGACCGGACGCTAGTTCTGGTTTGACCGGACGCTGGCGCAGAGTCCGGTCAGTTCATTTGATCAAGGTGAAATCGTCTGGTGCGACTAGACGCTGAAGAAGTGAGTGACCAGACGCTGAGGGCCAGCATCCAGTCGACTGCAGTAAGGTTCCAGAGAGGGGAAATCACGAGGCTGACCGGACGCTGTCCAGCGTCCGGTCACCACTTACACACTGGAGGTCGGGGTGAACTGATCGGAGTGTCCGGTCAACATGACCGAAGCGTCCGGTCACCCCGCAGAGACACATAACGGTTCGTTTTTCAACTTATGTTATAAATACTTTCTCCATTTGTGTGAGAGTGTACTTTTGCTCATTCCAACTGTTGAGAAACACCTTTGAGAGTGTCAAGAAGAGCAAGGTCCTAGTGAGGTGATTGAGATTTGAGAATCCCAAAGAGAGCCCTCATTAGTGAGATCAAGAGTAGCAAAGTGTGCATCCACCCTTCTCATTAGGCTTGTTGTGGTCAAGTAAGAGTCTGTGCTTGTTACTCTTGGTGATCGCCATCACCTAGCTGGCTTGGTGGTGATTGTGAGCTTGGTGATCATCCGACGGAGCTTGTGGATGACCCAACTCAAGTTGTGAGCGGTTGTGGGTGATTCACCGCGACGGAGTGTCGAAGAATCAACCCATAGAGAGCACTTGATCCTTGCGCAGATCAAGGGGGAGCTACACCCTTGCGCGGGTGCTCCAACGAGGACTAGTGGGGAGTGGCGACTCTCCGATACCTCGGCAAAACATCGCCGCGTTCCTCCTTCTCTCTTTACTTTGAGCATTTACTTTGAGCAATTCAATTCTTGTCATTAACATTCATAGAATTGCCATGCTAGAGTAGGATTGGAACATAGGGTGCTAAACTTTTGTGCGTTAGATCAATAGAAACACTTTTTAGGCACAAGGGGTTAATTGGGCTAACCGTAAGGTTTAATTATTGCAAAAAAAATAGAATTAGCCCAATTCACCTCCCCTCTTGAGCATCTTGATCCTTTCAATTGGTATCGGAGCCTCGTGCTCACGTATTTAGGCTTAACCGCCTAGAGAAAGATGTCTCACGGGGATGGTTCTCCTCCTATCTTTGTGGGGGATAATTTTCCATATTGGAAAATCCGCATGGAGGCGTATTTAGAAGCTCTAGATGTTGGCATACTTAGAGCCGCCTCACAAGGTTTCCCAAAACCTTGGGATGCTGCGCACCCACAAGGCGATGAGTTGAATTACGAGAAATGGAATGCAAAGGCTCGAAACACCATATTTAGAGGCCTTTGCAAAGATGTGTTCAACCGGGTAAGGAACCACAAAGACGCCCATGAACTATGGTCGGACGTTTGTGCGCTCCATGGGGGAACAAAGAGTGAGCGTGAGGAACGCTATCATCTAGTCATGAAAAAGCTAAATTCTTTTGAGATGCTTCCTAAAGAATGTGCTAATGAGATGTACTCTCGTTTGAATGTTCTTATAGAGGAAGTCAATGAGCTTGGACTCACTCAAATGCAACCATCCGATGTTGTAAGAAAGATTTTGAGTGTCCTCTCCATTGACAAATATGGGCATATTATGACCATGCTTCATCAAGGTGATCTTTCCACCGCTACACCAACATAAATATTGAGAAAGATCAATGCTCATGAGATGTACATGCACATCACACCACAAGATGGCTCATCCTCTATCAAGAAGAAAGACAAGGACTTGGCATTTAAAGCTAGTCAAGAGAAGGGCAAAGCAAGGCTTGAGTATGAGAGCTCAAGTGATGATGAAGTTGATGATGCAAGTCTTGCTCTCATGGTGAAAAGAACCGCCAAGATGCTAAAGAAGTTCAACAAGAGTGGCATCAAGTTTGATGGCAAGAAGTTCTTCACTAGTTCAAGAAGAAAGCTAATCTTCGACATGGATTGCTACAATTGTGGAGAACTTGGTCATCTAGCTCACCAATGCACAAAGCCCAAGAAAGACAAGTTCAAGAACAAGAACAAGGGCAAGAAAGATGACTCAAGTGATGAAGATGAGAAGAAGAAAGATAAGCCATACAAGAAGAAAGATGGCAAGAAGAGAGACTTCCACAAGAAGAAGAAAAGTGGGAAGGCATACATCGTCGGTGATTGGCTCACGGACATTGATTCATCAAGTTGCTCATCCGATGATGATAGTGATAATGAGAAGGTGGCCGCCATTGTTATTGACTCTTCATCATCTTCTCCACCACCACCGCCATCATCCTCTACACACCTATGCCTTATGGCCAAGGGTGATCGCAAGGTATCAAATAATGATAGTAGTGATGATGAACATGCTAGTAATGATGATAGCGATAGTGATGATGATGAATATGAATCACCTTCTTATGATGATCTTGTTAAACTGCTAAATCAATACACTAAGATTATTAGAAAGAGTAGAGCTAAGAATGAAAAACTAGAAGCCAAGAATGATTCTCTTTTAGCTAAATGTGATGTAGCGGAAAAGGCTAGTGTTGAGCTTAGAGAAGCGAATGATGCTATATCATCCAAACTCAAGGAGCTCAAATCTTGTAAGAAAGAGCTTAAAGATAAACATGATAAACTTGAGAGGATACACAATGAGCTCATCACTAG